CAGAATTATGCTGAAATGTCTGAGCCCTATCAATGGCTTTTTCCATGGACGAAATATTAGCGTTGGAAATATACTCTGCTAAACGCTTATCTAGCAAACCTTGGCCAAATCGCATGATTGCCATCTGCTCTTCCTCTCCCCGTTCCAGATGTTTGTAGGCTCGGTGAGCCAAATGCTGGACTCTATCAGCCCATTCTAAGTTTTCCTCACCATTCTCCTGGTGGGCCTGAGAAAATTTCATTATTGCCACGTCTAAAACCTCCCTATCTCCAAATCTCTTTACTAGTTGGTGCACCATGCGAGTGTAATCAATTGATGGTTCCCGGTCTAGTATACGGATGTAAAAATCGCTAGCTTTTCCCTTATGGCACAAACCCAAGTTTGTGAGAGAAGTCGTGCCACTCCAATCTTTTTCCACTGCATACGATGTGAAACGGCGATAGAATGGAGTCCAAACCAATTTACCATCATAATCGAGTTCTCGAGGTGTTGGACGGAATGAATTATTCCTTTGACCATGACTGTTCCACTGTCGAGGAGACGTGGAGTCATCCGAATCAGAATCCTGAGAGCTAGCTGACAACCTTCGAACTGGATGACGAGTGGAATGAGACGGACCCTTAGTGGAAATATGTCCCTGTCTCTGAAAACCAAACTATGCAAACTAGCCTCCAGAGACGGCGGAGACATTCCCATCAGTTGATGGCGAGCCTGAACGTCCCCAAGTGTTTGGTTCTGCTATTGTGTTGGAGCCTGAGCCATGAGGTAGTGGTTCCGTGTCAAAAGATATGGCATACAACAAAGGAGTTGTAATCTTAAGGTGAGATATATGATGGATGTTGTCTGCCGTGATAGTGTGTGTGTGTCTGAACTTAATAATTCTGTTGGCCAGTGTGTACGACACTCCAGGTAATGTTATTAGATCAGTTACAGACGCCAAGTTAATGCGTATGCGGGGCATCTTGCGGTAATGAAAAGCCACGGCTCAAAACTAGTCTTTTTGCAAAATGTACGTTCACAGTCAAAGTAAACCGGCAATGAATAAGAATAAGACACGTCAGGGAATAGGCCTTAAATCTAGGAATGGTCAAGAATAGTATCCTGTTTCCAAGCCTGTAACTAATGGAAGCAGGTGCCGCTTAGGAATTATCCAGTATGTTTGAAGTAACTATTCACTGTACGATTGTCCAAAAAATTGGAGAAAAACAGGGTGGCCCCAATAATTAGGATGACCTGACCCCAATGTTACTCCCTCCCAAAAATTTTCTAAAGTTGGAATGCACTAGGTATGGTCTTGAACACTCACTAGGACTGGATAATCATAAGTGCTTACACTGAATTTGATCATGTATGAAATTTAGGATAATCTTAAGTCTAGAATCATGCACTTAAATCGAGAAGCATGCACTTAAAACTAGAATCATGCACTTAAATCTAGAATGTAAACATACATTGCACTCTTACAAGTATATGTTAGGTAACTTATTCTTATACTTCTCACTTATTACTAGGTATTTTCACTGGTCACTCGAAGGATTATCATATGTAGTAATGTTCTCCTACAAAGTGGACATTTGCAAACACACTGTTCCAAGTTTCAATATTTCACAAATGTAATCAGTAGCACTCACTTAACTAATTTATAACAGTATTTTTCGCCTAAATGTCTCAAGTAAATATATTTAATGTTACTGAAAGGAAGTTCATTCACTAATATCTATATGCAGCAATGAGTATACAGTTCAAAGTTCATGCACCTGTTAAAGAACAACACATTCATTTCAGAGGAATGGGTAAGTTTAGGGAGGAAGTATGGTTTCCTTTCCTCAGGTTTTCAATACACCAGCACAAATTTTCTTGACACATATGTCTCCGTGGAGTCATATATATAAGGAAAGTTCGTGAAGGCAAAGTAGGAGACAGTCCAGCAAGATGCCACAAACACCTATGTATAGATAACGCCTCTGAGTCCTCAACGACCGTGAGTAAACAATAACATCGAGCCCGGATACGCTCGTGAACGAAGGCTGAATCCGTGAGGTAGTAACTTCCTCCTCACTCCTATTATAATCACAAAATTACTGAACACTTCGAATTCTGATGTAGAATATCTAGAAAAACAGTAAATGCAAAGAAAATTGATGGTACAACCTTAGTGGGAAGTGGGAACGCCAACTGGTGGGGCGGACGCCAACAGGTGGGTCGGGCTGGCAGCATGTAGGAACAAGTATGGCGGCGGCGCAGCGTGGTGATGGCGTCGTCTTGAGAACAATGAATATATACTAAAATTCACAAAAAATAGAGAAAATTGCCAAAAATGGGGAAAATTGATGCAGCAAAGAGGGCAAAAAATCTGGGAAATGAATCTAACGTCGAAAATCTTGCTGGATGCATGGGGGTTGTAGAACACTCTTGAAGCAGGAACAGAGGTACGACGAAGTATAGAAAATCACAGGGAAATGCAAGAAATGGGGGAATAAAGGATAAATACTGGAATCAGGAACCACAAAATCGCAGACAACGCAGCTGGAAATCACAAATCAAGTCCTAGCAAACTGGAGAACATCTATGGTGCAACCGACGACAGTAAATTTCACTGTAATGTTGAACACGGTCTCAATCACTTGCAGCAGGATAATGATGTGTACAGCGTGGCGAGGTCCTCTTGATCACCGTGTAGGCCGATTACTCACTGCGCCAGTGTGGAGGCGGTCGTCTAGGGGCTATGGCTGACCAACCACGTGGTAATCGACATACACGGAAATGTGCAGAAAACGGGGAAAACAGCGGCTCACCTTGAGCTGAAGTCTTCTCACGGGAGGGCTGAAGCAATACGACGGCTTCTAGGGGCGAGGATGGGCGAGGTCCAATGGTAGCTGGCCAATATGGGGTGCTGGATAACCACAGTCCAGGGGGCGTCACTAACAGGTCCTTCTGCGGTCAGGTGCGGTCTGGCCTCCCTCTCGCCTCCAGGCATGCGCGCGGGTGATGCGCAGACGCACGGCGCCGAGCTGCCGCCCACCAATCAGGAGCAGCTAATATAAAATGTTACCCTACCTGGTATTTTGAATGTGGTTCCCTCCACAAGTCATCCACAGCACCACCACACATCCAGCAGTCATCAACAGCTCCACCACACATCCAGCAATCATCCACAGCACCACCACACATCCAACAGTCATCAACAGCTCCACCACACATCCAGCAATCATCCACAGCACCACCACACATCCAGCAGTCATCAACAGCTCCACCACACATCCAGCAATCATCCACAGCACCACCACACATCCAACAGTCATTCACAGCACCACCACACATCCAGCAGTCATCCACAGCACCACCACACATCCAACAGTCATCCACAGCTCCACCACACATCCAACAGTCATCCACAGCACCACCACACATCCAGCAGTCATCCACAGCACCACCACACATCCAGCAGTCATCCACAGCACCACCACACATCCAGCAGTCATCCACAGCACCACCACACATCCAGCTATCATCCACAGCACCACCACACATCCAGCAGTCATCCACAGCACCACCACACATCCAGCAGTCATCCACAGCACCACCACACATCCAGCAGTCATCCACAGCACCACCACACTTCACAACACCAAGTGCACAGTCCAGCAAGCTTTGGTCATCAATGGTGGCCAAATATTACAAGTTGTGTTGATTCGTCAAGTGCTAAGCATATTGTCTGGGTAGAAAACTATTAGGGGAAAGCGCCAAGTCATTACCACTATATACCACTGGGAAAGGGTCAGATAAACTCTTCCACTCTGGCTCAACATTTCCGTTTTCTTCTTCATATTTTCCTTTCTTACAATTTGTTGAAACTTCACAAAGGTTTCCCAGACTCTATAAATAAGCTTTACATATGACGTGGAGGAGCAGCATGTGTACTGGTCCACGTCTACACTTATACTGACTGTGGCAGGTGGTGGGACTCTCTATATACCCGCTTCTTTCTTCCTCTCGATTCGGGTCGAAATTTCTAGAATATTCGAATTTTCTAGAATTGTTGTTGATGTGACGACTTATATTGAATTTTGTAACTAGCTCATCAAGATTGTAACTTGCTTAGCTAAATGAATTGTGGGATTCAGTCCCTGAGCCCATTATGTGCCTCTGTAACCCTTTCCACTACCGCCCACAAGATGGGTATTGGGTGCATAATAAATGAACTAAACTAAACTCTAGAATTGTTCTCTAGCCGCGTGTTAAAGGTCTAAGAGGTTAAAGGTTAAAGGTGTTTGGCCAGCATAACTGTTGTCTGCGGTCCTCACACACTCACCACTTCCTCACACTCTCACTACTTTCTCACACACTCACGTGTTCACATAAGTTTGATGATGAGTGTAAGCGTGCAAGGTGAGGTAAGGTAATTATGAGGAGGACACAGTAAGCCATTACAAGCCATCTTTCAGGGGTACAAGATCTTCCTCTGCCATACATCACACACATGTGGCGTTCTTGAGCGCTGAGGCGGTGATCCGGCTTCGCGAACGGCAACATGAACGCTGAAGTATTGAGCGGAGTAATGTACCGGAATCATGGGTGTAATATTATCATTCTTCCTATAACTATTATTATTATATGAATGATTTAATATTAATAATAATTTTTTTACACAGTAATTACATTAACATGATATATATCAATGATAAGCTTCGGGGGTCCGGTGGTAGAGTATGCGACTTGGCAATGCCAAGGTCGCAGGTTCGCGCTTCGTGGATCTTCACGTTATTACCTGTGATAATATTGTTATATATAATAATGGTAAGGTTGTGTGGCAGGTGCTCCACCCGGGGAACACGGACGCGTGGACGCTACACATTATTACCTGTGATAATATTGTTATATATAATAATGTTATGGTTGTGTGGCAGGTGCTCCACCCGGGGAACACGGACCAGTGGACGCTACATATTATTACCTGTGATAATATTGTTATATATAATAATGTTATGGTTGTGTGGCAGGTGCTCCACCCGGGGAACACGGACGAGTGGACGCTACACATCAAGTACGCCCAGCCAGGGGACGGTGGCTGGTACGAGTGTCAGGTCAACTCTGACCCCAAGATCACCAGGCCTGTCCTCCTCATTGTCAAGGGTCAGTATCTCACTCTGGTTGGTGGCCTCACTCATTGTGAGAATAACACGTGGCTTGTCAAGTTAAGACTGTGGCATATGTTTGTGAGTTAGAAGACACATATACGCACGCACACACACGAACCTGTACACCTGTTGATTGACGGTTGAGAGGTGGGACCAAAGAGCCAGAGCTCAACCCCCGCAAGCACAATTAGGTGAGTACTCTGGGGGGGGGGGGGGTGTGTATGAATGACTGGGGGGGCTTGCCAGCTTTTTTATTATTATTATTTTCTACCACAGACGTGGCCACACATTTACAATGCTAACTAGCATATATACATTTTCTTCTGTCCTCCATGGACAGGGTGAAAGATTTGTCAAACATACAGTTCAGAGATTTATTGAACAACCACACAAGGTGATCGTAGTGCTTTTAAAATGTTAGGCTAAGCTACATACGTAAATACATAGATTTATGAATGCATTAATGTGAATTTATAATGGTGAAATGCAATTCTGATCAGCTTCATACTTTATACACATACATACATACACACACACACATACATACACACACATACATACATACACACACACACATACATACACACACATACATACACACACACACATACATACATAAATATATACACATACATACACATATATTTGTCTCTTTTACTCTGACAGGGTGAGATAGCTGACAAGAGAAACTAGTGTGCAATTAAGAACTTAACCACTGAAGGTGATTAAGATGCTTTTACAAGCTCAGGTTATATAGTTACATTATATGGTTAATCTTGGGTACAAGTCCAATATATCATCTAGTGTTCCAGTACTCATATAGTAACTACAGAGTTCAGCATACCTTAGCCCAGGAGGGCGAAAGTCAGACAATATGGGACATTCTACAATATAATGTTCAAGAGAGTGCATGTTTTCTCTTTCACAAAGATGACACATTGTGTACTCGACATTTGGGTTTTGAGAAAGCTGCCAGATACGTCTATATCCCAGGCGTATTCTGGCCACTATAACATCACATTGCCGGGTTCTATTGTTCTATTAGTCCCATATGTGAATGTCTCCTCACGATATCTATCATAATATTTAATACTGCAACTTTCAGGTCTGTGTGAATTTGTTAGGTCGGTGAGATTTTCATTAGATATTTGTTTAAGTATTCTCTTTGTCACTGCTAATGAAACACCCATATCAATTTCTACTACTGGTTTCCTACAAGCTGTCTTTGCAAGCATATCAACAGTGTCATGCCTTGAGATGCCAACATGTGATGGTATCCATAGGAATTTAATTTCAAATCTGTTTTCTTTAGCAGCTAAAACATTCATTCGAATATCAATGACTATTTTCTGGGTGTGACTATGTGCATTCAGTGCCAGGAGTGCACTCTGCGAGTCACAGTATATAAGTCCTGACAGCTGAGTGGGCAGCACTTCGGATTCGATGTCCTGAGCTTCCGGGTTCGATCCCCGGTGGAGGTGGAAAAACAAATGGGTAGAGTTTCTTTCACCCTGATGCCCCTGTTATCAAATAGGTACCTGGGAGTTAGACAGCTGCTACGGGCTACCAAAGATACCTTACAAGCAGAACTTATTGCAGAAGGAGGAAAGAATCGAGGCAATTACAATTATATATATATATATATATATATATATATATATATATATATATATATATATATATATATATATATATATATATATATATATATATATATTAGTATATTTTGGTAGCAGTCTTTCCTGTAGACATATATTATTAAATATGACCGAAAAAGTAAGATTAATAATTCTAACACGAATTTTCTCAATCTTTCGTACATTTCGTTTCACTGTTGGAGGTAAATCAAAAATCAATTCTCTAAATTCATTTTTATTTCTAGTCTGACGCGACACAAGCGCGTTTCGTAAAACTTATTACATTTTCAAAGACTTTAGTTCACAAATACACAACTGAATAGAACTTACTCATCTCCGATTTTATATCTACATTTGAGTGAGGTGGAATGGGTGATGTGGCATTAACACAAGACAGAACAAGATGAACAAGAACAAGTTTGACGAAACGCGCTCGTGTCGCGTCAGCCTAGAAAAAACTTGGCTTATTAGGCAAATCATTTTTGCCTTGCATAGTAGTGAAACGAGAATGTGCGTTCTGGCTGACAAGGTACGTGTTAGAATTATTAATCTTACTTTTACGGTCATATATAATATATATATATATATATATATATATATATATATATATATATATATATATATATATATATATATATATATACACACACACACACACAATATGTGTATGAAAAGCTTGTCTACGTGGTATATATTTCACAGAGCCATAATTTCATTTAATGTCATGACAAGAGGACAATGCAAGGAACAACAGTGAAATTGAAATTACACAGTATACATGTGAGCAATACATCCGAGGCCTAAATGTATACATTCCCCAACATGGTTCACATAATACTTCCTATACAACATTTATGTAGCATTTCATACAGTAAACATACAAGGAGATTTTCAAGCGACGTGACATTAGGCTACTGCTATACACTAGACATCTAATATATCAATCCACAATTACATGGCATACAACTTTGATACAGAAATATAATATAGTAGGTTATGTATGCCATACATTGTCAATACACAAAATATAATCATTTACGGTCAAAAGAAGATTAGCTAGTAATTACAATATTCGTGATACTAGGCTAATCAGCCAAGATATCACTATAAAGTTTTAGCACATCATACACCAGCCTCAGTATGATTATTATTTATTTTAATATTTATTACCTTTTATAAATACTTTTTCAAAAAATAATCACTAAATTATCACTATGAACAAGTTCATCCAAATTCTTGAACACGAAAAATTACATAAATTATATTTTAGAATCCAATACTGTATTTAAAAAAAATTCCTTTTTACCTAAACTGTAAAAAGGTAAGTAGGACCAAGAGAAGGGTGATGTAAACCCGAGTATCGTGACCGGTCGCCGTCGACCACAAAAATACGTCAGAGGTAAAGTTTACAGTTTTCCTCACACCTTCCGGCAAGATATTTTTATTTTCAAAGTTTACATCAGTTTTACCCTCTCTGCTCTGTTTAACTCTTCCCTGTGATGCTGTTGGTTATTGTGGGAGAGTGTGAGGTACTGTGGGAGGGTGTGAGGTACTGTGGGAGGGTGTGAGGTACTGTGGGAGAGTGTGAGGTACTGTGGGAGAGTGTGAGGTACTGTGGGAGAGTGTGAGGTACTGTGGGAGGTACTGTGGGAGAGTGTGAGGTACTGTGGGAGAGTGTGAGGTACTGTGGGAGAGTGTGAGGTACTGTGGGAGAGTGTGAGGTACTGTGGGAGGTACTGTGGGAGAGTGTGAGGTACTGTGGGAGAGTGTGAGGTACTGTGGGAGGGTGTGAGGTACTGTGGGAGAGTGTGAGGTACTGTGGGAGGGTGTGAGGTACTGTGGGAGAGTGTGAGGTACTGTGGGAGGAGAGAGTGTGAGGTACTGTGGGAGAGTGTGAGGTACTGTGGGAGAGTGTGAGGTACTGTGGGAGAGTGTGAGGTACTGTGGGAGGGTGTGAGGTACTGTGGGAGAGTGTGAGGTACTGTGGGAGAGTGTGAGGTACTGTGGGAGAGTGTGAGGTACTGTGGGAGAGTGTGAGGTACTGTGGGAGAGTGAGGTACTGTGGGAGAGTGTGAGGTACTGTGGGAGGTACTGTGGGAGAGTGAGGTACTGTGGGAGAGTGTGAGGTACTGTGGGAGGTACTGTGGGAGGGTGTGAGGTATTGTGGTAGGGTGTGACGCACTGTGGGAGGGTGGGAGGTACTGTGGGAGGGTGTGAGGTACTATGGGAGAGTGGGAGGTACTGAGGGAGAGTGTGAGGTACTGTGGGAGGGTGTGAGGTACTGTGGGAGGGTGTGAGGTACTTTGGGAGAGTGGGAGGTACTGTGGGAGAGTGTGAGGTACTGTGGGAGGGTGTGAGGTACTATGGGAGAGTGGGAGGTACTGAGGGAGAGTGTGAGGTACTGTGGAAGGGTGTGAGGTACTGTGGGAGAGTGGGAGGTACTGTGGGAGGGTGTGAGGTATTGTCGTAGGGTGTGAGGCACTGTGGGAGGTACTGTGGGAGGGTGTGAGGTACTATGGGAGAGTGGGAGGTACTGTGGGAGAGTGTGAGGTACTGTGGGAGGGTGTGAGGTACTGTGGGAGAGTGGGAGGGTGTGAGGTATTGTGGTAGGGTGTGAGGCACTGTGGGAGGGTGGGAGGTACTGTGGGAGGGTGTGAGGTACTATGGGAGAGTGGGAGGTACTGTGGGAGAGTGTGAGGTACTGTGGGAGAGTGTGAGGTACTGTGGGAGGGTGTGAGGTATTGTGGGAGGGTGTGAGGTAACTTGGGAGGGTGTGAGGCACTGTGGGAGAGGTACTGTGAGGTACTGTGGGAGGGTGTGAGGTATTGTGGGTGGGTGTGAGGTATTGTGGGAGGGTGTGAGGTACTGTGGGAGAGTGTGAGGTACTGTGGGAGGGTGTGAGGTACTGTGGGAGGGTGTGAGGTACTGTGGGAGAGTGTGAGGTACTGTGGGAGGGTGGGAGGTACTGTGGGAGAGTGGGAGGTACTGTGGGAGAGTGTGAGGTACTGTGGGAGAGTGTGAGGTACTGTGGGAGGGTGTGAGGTATTGTGGGAGGACTGTGGGAGAGTGTGAGGTACTGTGGGAGGGTGTGAGGTATTGTGGGAGGGTGTGAGGCACTGTGGGAGAGTGTGAGGTACTGAGGGAGGGTGTGAGGTATTGTGGGAGGGTGTGAGGCACTGTGGGAGAGTGTGAGGTACTGTGGGAGGGTGTGAGGTATTGTGGGAGGGTGTGAGGTACTGTGGGAGGGTGTGAGGTATTGTGGGAGGGTGTGAGGCACTGTGGGAGAGTGTGAGGTACTGTGGGAGGGTGTGAGGTACTGTGGGAGAGTGTGAGGTACTGTGGGAGGGTGTGAGGCACTGTGGGAGAGTGTGAGGTACTGTGGGAGGGTGTGAGG